TTGACACATTAATGTGAGAACTGCTAGATCCCAGGTTGATAGTGCAGCTACTTTGAGCAATCCTGCAAATCCAGGAAAGGACTCCAACTCTGGGAAAAGGAAGAGATGTTGCTACTGTGAATAGCTCTGCTTAGGAAGCAAGTGTATGCACTGCAAACCAACAGCAAGACATTTTAAGTAGGACAGTAGCATGTGTGTTTTGCTTTTAAAGATAAAACATGAAAAAAATGTGTCTGCTTCTGAAGTTGTTCATGGAATCTGAAACAAGTAAAATTAAATATGCAATACAAAAACTAAAAGTGCATGATTATTTGGTTACTGCAATTTAAATTAGAAGAATTTTACCTTTGTAGTTTTCCTTGGTTTGGGTTCAGGTTTTGGTGGAGCAGGTTTCTATAAAATATTTGCAATTATACAATATATTAGATAATTCACTACCAGCCTCTCAAGCACACCTTTTCCCTTGCATCCTAGAATGCACCTCTTAAAAGACCAGAAAAGTTTCATGTACCTCAACTGACACCACAGACTAGTCTGTATTTACTGCCTCACTACATGCTAGAGCGAAAGTAAATTTGGAGTCATTTTAAGAGTTTAACAGGGAATTTGGAGAATTCCACCACAGAAGCCCACCATCTCCTGTAGTCTAATATGACATTGCTAAAAGGTTCTTCCTCCTCCATTACTTCTGAAGTGGGCTATTATTAAAATATATGAACACCTGTAGTTTAGCAAATTTACAGAAAGAAAAAGGGAAATTTCCTCCTCCCACTTGTTCTACTTACACTTAAAGAAAAGTAATCAAAAAGTATCAGAAGTATCAAATAAAGCCCTACTACAGTGGCCCCCAGTCTTTCACAGAGGAAGTTGCATCTTCACAATCAGCATCTGTTGACCTATCAGGAGATAGAGCTTCCAGAAGTGCCAAGTCATATTTTGTGTACAACAGGCATACCAGTGAGAGAAAAAGAACAAAGTTCTCTTTAGGAGAATGTTTGTCTTTTGTTATATTAAACTAAACACCCTTCCCTCCAGAGAGCTTTAATGCTTTTCAAAATAAACGAATCAAACAAAATATGATGACCTGTTTGCCTGGAATGAGAAAATACATGCCTAGGAAGAGCACATAGGAATACTTACAGCTGACAATCTTGCGGATCGTCTTGTGGGCTATAAAAAGGAGGGGAAAATATTTGTAGGCTTTCAGCAGATCATATTCAAACCAAGACAAAACATGTCACTCATTCTTTTGGTGTTAACTAAAATTATATCACTAAGACAACAAAATTCCTTAGTTGTAAATACACATGAAGGGTGCTGCCGCCACTGTATTTTTCAAGTTTTGAAGAGACATGGTAAACTTCATCTTCTGTTGCCTTTTTTTTTTAAAATGAGTTCAGAAGTTTCAGTAACTACAAATGCTGATAGATTTGAGAGCAGGTGCAGTTTTACAGTGTCCTATTTTATAAGTGTTTATCTCACCCTTGTTGCTGTGTGAAAGGCCTATGCAAACGGGAGAAAAACTGACTACACAAAGGAAATAGTGAAACTGTTTCTACAGAAGACTATCAAAAGCACAAAGCAAGTGAACTGAAAATACTGAGGAAAAAGAGTGTTTCTTTAATCTTTCTTACTTTTAAACACTCTGTAAAAATTATTTTCCAACAAATGCAAGTTAAGGTGGTTGTGTCTATTCTATATTATTGATATTTTAAAAATGTAAAGTAAGGGCCAATCCTACAACAGATACCATGTAGGTACAGGAGTGCACCTGCACAGAGCCAGTTACAGGATCAAAGGATAGACATTTGACAGCTTTTGCACTTAAAAGAAAACTATTGGGGCAGGGTAGTTAAAGATTTGATCTCTCTACCCCACCCACAAATGAATTCCATGTGTCTGCTTTTTTCTTAAGTCAAGTGCGGAAGATGAGAAAGTTTGGGAAATACTCCTGGGAGGCATGTGAACTGCTGTCTGGGGGAGGCTAGACCCCAGCTCCACCCCTTCTGCAGAGAACACCTGGCTCTTTGGGGAAGCACTGGCTCCCCCAACCTATGCTACCCAGGGAAATATTTAAAAACATGTTGTTACCTTGTTCTCCACTCTCAGGCCCCAAATGTATTACAATGGTCAGTGAGTTAATGAAGCTGGTTACAGAGCCTGACTAGAGAGCTTGTGTATACTAAAAACCAGAACTGAGTTGTAACAGGGTGTGACGGGGCGAACAGGCCCCGCACTGCAGGGCTGGGAGTAGCCCAGGCCCAGCTGGCTGAGAGGGCCCCGCCCTTCCGGCCCTGCTGGGCATGCTCCCAGCAGAGGCCAGGTATAAAGGCAGAGGGAACCCAGCAGGCAGGAGGTCAGCTGGGGGAAGGAGGAGACCAAGCCAGGCCAGTGTTTGTGCAGCCGCTGGGACTAGAGCCGCTGCCAGTGCTGGACCCAGACACCAAAGAAGCAGACCCCGACTCCAGGAGACCGGAACCTGCCCACAACCCCAGCAGGTGCTGCCTCGGAGGCCAGGGGGCCCCCGGGGAACCAGGGCGTGGTAGGAAGCAGCCCAGGGCAGGGGATACCAAGTTTGGCTCGGCGTGGACTTTGTGTTGGGGCATTGATACCGTATATCCCCTGACAGAGGGGCCTGGACTTTGTGTTGGGGACTTTGGGGTGCGGTATGGGCCCGGAATGAGACGCGGGTCAGTATAAGGGGTTCAGCA